CTCCCTCTGTTAAGTGGATGTTAATTTTTCAGGCCAAAGTCTTTCGAGCAGCAGTTTATCAGTTTCCTGACTGTGCCTTATCTATAATAATTTCTCTAGGTTTTAAATTTAGTATAAAGAAGGGGAACATTTTGGGTCAAAATTTTTATATATAAACATTTTAAGAGTGACCCAAGTAACTGTTTTTATTTTTATTTATTTATTTATTTTTTTAAAAGATGACCGGTAAGGGGATCTTAACCCTTGACTTGGTGGTGTTAGCACCACGCTCAGGCAGTGAGCGAACCGGCCATCCCTATATGGGATCCGAACCTGTGGCCTTGGTGTTATCAGCACCGCACTCTACCGAGTGAGCCACAGGCCAGCCCCCCAAGTACCTGTTTTTATATCTAAAAAATTAAGTGATATTTATGAGCCAATTTTCTTAAAGCTACTGTTTTGGCAACAGCGGCTTTAATAGTCTTTGAGTGGCTTCTGACACATGCAAAGTGAAGTGCAGGATGCAGCAGTGCCCGGATGACTCAAGCAAAACAACTCACCTACCAGAGACATCCAGGTCACTGAATGAATGAATATATGAATGAATAATGGAGACCGAACAAAATACTTTCTAGCTCATCAGCTGTAATGAACCACTTTGGTTATACACTTAAAAAATTACCCTGATGATCAAGGGTTGTACACTGTGGCCTATACAAGACAGTTTCAGCACAAGGCAAGGTTTACAGAAGGGTCTGAATAAAGAAGACTTGAACTTGTAAACACTATACAAGGAGATTCCAAGTGAGAAAAGATGGTTTGTTCAGCATATGTAGACAGTTAAATACTTCTTTGATCAAAACCATCTCTAAATATTTAAAATAAGACTGGTTCTACTTAATTCTGGGGGACCCAGAAAAATATCTGGTTACTGTATAGTTTGTTTTCTGTCTTCAGGCCAGTTCTCTAGCCATGACCAAAGAGTCCCCTAGTCCAATAGTGATTCACTGAAAAAAAAAGGAGTCCATTGGCTCTTCCTTTGCCTGCCCACTTTTAAAAATCTTCTCGAAGAATTAAAAGAGTTGACTTCTGCCCTTCTCACAGCTAGAGCTCCAGCACTTTGATGAATGCCTGGGACCCAGGGAAGGCTCAGGAACCAATTCTCTGGACTCCCTATAGCTCTGGCATGGTGTCTTGCACACAGTGGGGGCTACCAGGGCATAGCGGTGGTCATAGGAGGGGGCAGGACAGAATTTACTGTTGTTGAATTAATGATGAAATTAGTTATTTTTGCCAGTAATTAAGTTTGCCATTTCTTCAATGGCATGGCACCTGGATCCCAATTCTGCTACATAGAACCTTTATAATGTGGGTGAGTCACTCACCTTTTCCAAGCTTCATTTCCTCATCTATCAAATGGGGATAGAAACACTGGCCTTGTGTACCCCTTCACATGACGAACAAGATTGTGCAGGTGAAAACACTTGGTGAATGCTTGCTACAATCCCATTTAGTTCTGTCTCCTCTAGCCTGCCACCTGCATGCTCTGGAGTTCTTTCAAGTAGGAGTTGCTGACCTTTCACCTGCTCTGGCAACTAAAAGCACCACATATTTGGGGTCAGGAATAATGATTTTGCCTTGGCATTCTTGTAAAAATCTTAGGCAATGTCCTCCAGTCCTGGAGATTTAGTGACACCCTTATATTTGTCTCATGTTGGTGGTGGAGAAACCACCATCCCTGGGTGTGTCATTGGTCCCCTGATATTCTGTGTGCTGTGTTGGGGCTGAGCCAGGTTAGGGAATTAACCAGCATTTTAGGCAGAGTTACAGGCCAGTGCTGGGAACCAGAAACACTAGATTTGGGAGCATGCAGCAAATAGGAAATGAGGTCAGGAACACACAAGATCAGAATCAAGATGCTCATGGCACGAGAGAAATCAGGTTTGGGGACAAGGATGATCAGCATCAAGGATGGAAAGTCTCCACAGTTCAAACTGGAATACACAAGGCTAAAGAAGCTCTCAAGCTGGAGAGTGGCCAGGTGGTCCCCATTTGGCTGCACTTGGGTGTGCATCCTTGTTATCCCAGGACTGATGCTTTCCCTTGAGCCCCTTACTATTTCCTAACAAAGCTGACCACCCCCATTGAAGGGCAGACCGTTCATGGACCCCTTACCATCCAGCATCCCTTCCCTCCTTGCCTCTTGCTTTCTCTTTGATAAGAATCACCACTGCTCTGATCATCTGTGGCTGCCTTTGAGTGTCTGCCCCGTCAATGACCTCGCCTGAATTTGCAATCGCCCCTCCTGTCTCCCCTGCTATTTCCTCAAGCTATTTTCCCTTTGAATCCCCATAGTACTGTGCTGATTCTTATGGAACTGATATTCTTTTTGTGTTATAATGATTTGTATGTGTCTCATTCAGCTTCTTAACCTGCAAACCTCATGAGAACAGAGGCTGTCTACCTTATTTATGGAATACCTGCTTGCTGATTCTTATGGAACTGATATTCTTTTTGTGTTATAATGATTTGTATGTGTCTCATTCTGCTTCTTAACCTGCAAACCTCATGAGAACAGAGGCTGTCTACCTTATTTATGGAATACCTGCAGTTTCCAGCATAATATCTTACACTGGTGGGACCAATAAATATTTACTGTGTTAAATTTTATGATAATTCTGATTTCCAAGAACAAGTAATCATATTTCCCCACCATTTTTTTCTCATTCTAAAATACTTGTATAGTCATAATAATGTGATCCCAATTACATAGTGGTTTCTCTATAAATAAAACAGCTATTGGTTTCTGTTTTATCCTACTCAGCAGACTCAAATACAGTTTCCTATCTTCTTGGGTCCTAAAACATTTTTTAAGGCAATGTCACTTGATCTCTCCAGTAAACATTATTATCACGTCTTGTTCTTTGAGCTCCCGTCACAACTGTGGACAGCTGCAACCCTTCACGATTCCTCTCTGGTCTCCACCTGCAGCTTCCTGCATTTGGCGTAATGTACAAATGGCACACTCTCCTGATGCTGGGCAGGCAGGCAGTCCCCCACCTTTTCCACTGTATGAAGCTACAACATTCTGAAACTCACTGCCACTATCTGTGGTTATTCTTCACATGTGTGCCAGTCCAAAGGCTGCTGCCCTCTCCTCCCCCAAGTCTCTTTACGTCATTTACATCAAGGTCCTCACAAGCTGCCAAGCGTTTCAGTTCTTCTGTTTCTTCCTGGAAACAGGCGTGTGCGCTCTCAGCCCTGTCAATCAGCGGAATGACTGCAGGAGAATGGTGCTCTCCTCCTCTGCCTCAGATGCACTATTTAGTTCTCTCCTGAGCACAGATGCCGAGAGTCTGTGTCAACACAAACCTCACGCTTCAAAAATGATATTCTAATCCAGCTGACTGTCAGATTTTTAAATTGTTTTCTCTTTTTTCGGGTTAGGAGAAAGGGCTATGCCAGGTTGTTCTGTCCTTCTTATGACTGAAGCTGCAAATGTCTGGATAGGCTGCTCTAGGCCAGGGTTTGATCTGAGGCTGGGAGGAACCTTTCTCCTTGTGAAGGGACCCTGAGCCCATGGAAAGACTGAGCGCACAGTACTCCTGGGTTGGGGGGTGAGGCACTGGGGAGGATGGAACACTGACTCAACTTGGGGCTGTAATCAAAAAGGAAACTGAGGCCAGTACTGGACTAGGGTAGATGGGGAACAAAGCAATACTGGCCTGGAAATGGGTGAGGCACTGTTCCTGGACTCACAGACCTGTGCCCCTCTAACACCTGGCACAATGCAAGGACCAGAAGTGCTTGACCATGTTATTCTCTGAAATATACTGAAGATCAGGCTGAGCCATTCAACAGAAAAAGAAGACCCTTGAATGAGACATATACTAGTCCTACTGTGAAAAATACAAAAACTAAACCAAAACTGACCTTCATTAGAAAGATGGGAGGGGGATGCCCCATGCAGGGATAGCTATAATGCGAATGTTTTAATTAGTGTATCTGTACATTCTGTAATGATTTCAAGTGTGAGAATTTATCATCTATTTAAAGGGATTTGTGGTTACTAATTAGGTACATTGTATCCAATCAGGAATTAATAACTCAGGCCTAATTGTGAATATTGAGCTTCACGTCCAGTCACGGCATACACGCTGACTGACAGCACTGGGGGTAGGAGTGACAGGTCTCCCTTCCCTGGCACTCAGTCCCAATGCAAAGGGGTCTGCAGACTGGGTTTGTGAGACTTTGGGCTCTACAAGGCCCCAAGGCCCTTGGGGGTGCAGAAGGCCAGGGGACTGACCCTTCTGGAAGGGTTCATCAGGCTGCACCACCTGAGCTGAGCAGCCCTAGCAAAAACTGCATTTTGTGGAAGTCTGGCTGGAAGAAAAAGAGGCTCTGGCACCAGGGTTAATAGTCTTGCAAATATAATAAATATTTCTTCCCTCTCCCCAGGAAGCATACAAAGAGTAAAATGAATTATCACTACTTTGGAATAAACAGTAATGCTCTCTGGGTGAAGAGCCAACTGGCAGTTTGAAAGATTGGGTTAATCAGACACAGGGAAATTTCTGATTAATTGGACAATTACTTCGAACTCTGAGTGAGCCAAGGCAATGTTAGAGTAATATCCTGATCAACTGGGAATAAATTCAATAGCCCGAGGCAGAGATTTTTAAGCTGATAGGAGTCGAAATACACTGGCACTGGTGCTCGATTTTTATGGCCTCAAGTTCCCCAAATGCATAAGGCTTATAATTATTTTTTAAGACCAAACTGATTCAAAATTCTTTTGGTTTTAAATAATTATTTGAAAATCTGTTTGACATTCTCTTGAAATAACTTCAGGAGTCTTGGACATGGCAAAACCAAATTTAGGGGTCAGGAGAGAGACATCATTATGTCCGCTTATGGAAAATGGCCCAGATCCATGGATAATTGTCTTTGCGTGTGAGTTGGTAACACACACGCACCCCCCCTCAACTCCTTCCTGAAAGCCTAAGGTGGCACTGCCTTACCTGGTGGGGGCGTGTTTCTGTTCTTCCTCCTCATCTGTGTCACTGCTGATGGTGATGACGCTGACCGTGGGGCTGGGGGTGTCAGGAATGACAATCGTCTGCCGCTGCCGCTCCCGGTTGGTGCTGGAGGCCACATCACCCCAGCCGCAGGTGACCGAGGTGCTGCAGGCTGGACTGCTGTGCACCATGGTGCAGCGAGGAGGCGTGTTCTCCTTGACGCGTTTGGATCGCTGAGGGGAGCTGACGGCCTGAGAGGAGGACACCTCACAGGTAGAGACATTTCTGTAACGACAAAACCACATATGCAGAGGAAGGTCAGGCCCTGCAACTCCTTCCAAGAAGTCTGACTGCCTAGAATCACCAGCTTTGCCAAATGTCTATAAAAATTTAGAGGGCCAGCCCAGTTAGACTCAATCAGTAACTGGAAAAGTGGCCACCTCTGGAGATCTTTCCATTAGTCACTACACAGATCAGGACAGCAGCCTGGCCTTCTCTGGGCTCTAGTTTGCCTGCTCCCAGCAGGCTGCAGATGTCGTGACCAGGATTTCAGCTGTGTCTGCCCAGCGCAGCCTCTTGTCTTCAGGGCCAAGGCCCTCCTTCTGAGCTCTGTCTTGTCATCCCCCTAAATATACTTAAGTCTTGTTTTGGGGAGTGGTGAAAAAAGTGGTGTTTGTCACATAATGCTTTGGTTTTCTTGCTAATGTTTGTTCTACTAATAATTAAACTATAACACTTATTTCTTAAGAGTTTCTAGATCTAAAGGGTCTAACCTTGGTGAGCAATGGTTCGGCTTTCCTTCCTTCCTCCTCTGGGAAAAGAACATGACCATTAAAGTATTTGTGTGTACATAATTAAAAAAGAAACACAAGAAACGATTTTTCTGGATTTTGACCCTTTGGCCTCAAGGGAGGCTCACCAGTCTGTTTGAATTGTAATAAAAAATTGGGAAAAGCGCAAGAGGAATAAATATGCTTAAAAAGAGACCTTTTAATCTAGACTTTGATCAACCTGAAATTCCTTATTCAGGCTGTCCAGTTAGCTCAGTTGGTTAGAGTGTGGTGTTGTAACACCGAGGTCAAGGGTACGGATCCCTGTACCAGCCAGCTGTCCTCCCCCCTCCCCCCTCCAAAAGAAATTCCTTATTAAATTAGCCAGTGTAGCTTCTGGTAACTTTAGGGAAATAACACCTCCTTCCCTCACCATAAAACCCTTGCTGACCCTAGTAGTACCTAGGCAATGAGAGACCAAAGTCAATGCATAATGAAACTCGGACTCTTACATGTCTTTAGAGATTCTAGTACCTTCTAGCTAAAGGGCTGGCAGTAAAATGAAATTCAATAAAGATGGGTTTATTTAATTTTCTATCTAGCTGGTGTCAGATATGTTGTTTGCTCCTTTTTCAGGGCTGGTAATAATTTTACTGATAAGATTGTTCTGTTGTTTGTACTTATGATAAACCTATGTATTTGTTATTGTTAATATGTTACAACTTAGAGATTATGTTTTTATTACTCCAGCAATCATAATATGTCCACTTGGCATTGCTAAAGAAAAGTATGCCTGGCTGCACCACCTGACAAGGGACAGCCTTCTGATCTTTCAAACTGTTTTGCCTAAGGCATTGGTCTTAAAAATAGGCATATACTAACTTTCACTATAATTATATCAATCTTGAAATGCACTGGCAATGAGCCTTCATGAAACCATCTGGGTGGCGAGTAGACAACATGGAGGGATCTGCTAACAGGTGGGGACACTAAGGGTTCTTACTGCCCCTACTCGGCCAAGGTGAGCCATGACAATACTAAGCTCAGTTCTGGGTCAGACCAGTGTTCTGCAAGACGGCCCACCTGGCTGGGCATGACAGCCCACGAGGATCAAGACAGTGGCCTTTCTTGCCGCTCATTCTAATAATGACATGGGTGTGTTGTCACAGGGCTGCTGAACAAAAGCATTCTGGAGGCCTGCCACTGATCTGAGTTGAATTTCCCTGAGTTGTCAGAAACATCCAAAAAAGGATGAAGAAGGACATCCTTGAAGAAAGACAACAACTCGAGGGAAGTCAGCTCTTGAACTAATTTTTGAGTAAAATGAAAAAAGGCAGGCCTAATTACTGGTGCCTGGCTAAATGAGGAAGCAGAAAACCAAAATTCACTAGACATTTTATACGCTGGACCTCCCTTAATTAACTTATTCTAAATAAGCAATTAAGACCTCCGAGTCAGTGCCTTTAGGAAGAAATAGAGCAATTCTGCAGTCGCATGATCTTGCCATATATACATATATTTGTCTATATATATATAGACAAATATATGTATAAATATATTGTCTATATATATAAACATATATATTTGGGGGGCTTGGAGGTCTCTTTTTTTAAAAAAAGTTAGGCTTATTGAGGTATAATTGACATACAGTAAAGTTCTCTCTTTTGAAGTGTTTGATGAGTTTTGACAAATGTACAGTCATAACCCCCCTCCACAACTTGGAGGTCTCTTTTTTTAAAAAAAGTTAGGCTTATTGAGGTATAATTGACATACAGTAAAATTCTCTCTTTTGAAGTGTTTGATGAGTTTTGACAAATGTACAGTCATAACCCCCCTCCACAACACAAATACAGAACTTTTTTATGACCTAAAAAGTTCCCTCATGTTCCTTCTCAGTCAATCCCTCCTCTCCTAGTAGTCTCTGACAGCCCCCGATCTGACCCCTGCCTCTGTGTTTTGCCTTTTCCAAAATGCCATATAAATGGAATTATACTGCATATAATCTTTTGTTGTTCTTGATTTTTTAAGAGTTCATTGAGATGAAACTGTATTTAAAGGGAATGGGAAAGATTAGGGTTCTGCGGTTAGTGTCTGGGATTAATCAAAGTTATTGCTTATCCTTAAGCAAGCAGCTAGATGAGTTAAATTTCTGATCTCAGATTTCAAAGAAAGTACATTTCTCTAGTATTAAGTAAACGGCTTCCAAATTGAAACTTCAGAGGTGAGACTGAGTGTTTTCTAGAGAAGGAGAAAGTGACAAAGACTCTGTGCTTGGCCAAACTTTAATCAGGCTTCTGAACCTTCTCCTAGGCCCATCTGTGCATCTCCTTGTAAAATCCAGTTTTAGCAAAGAGCACTGCTAAGTCAGTTTAGCCAGAATCCCCTCGATATCTGATTGGGTTCCTCATCTTCCACCATCCCCAGGTGACATCTGACCACTCTGGCCTGCCTTCATCAAGAATCCTATTAGGTCAGTTTAGCCAGAATCCTCTTTACCCCTCATGTTTCCTCTTAATAATTTTCCATCCGTTGACCTCTAAACTAATGTTTGGCAGTAAATTCCCACTTGCCCATGCTGTATTGGAGTTGAACCTAATCTCTCTCTCCCACTGCAAGACCCCAAGGCAGTGGTCCCTTTACCTATCTTGATGGTACTGAATCAACTCTTCTTTATTGTGGCTTAATAAGTATCATTGAATAATTTTTCTTTAACATAGGGACTGAAGCTCTCAAGGCACTGAACACGCTGTAATTCCAGGCCCCTTAGGATGCCAGCAGGGCTGGGACTGGGGTGAGACAAGAGGCAGGGTAGGCATGTGCACAGAGCCCACGGTGAGTGCTTCCTGCAAACCCTAGGGAAATCCATGTGGATGGGATGTTCTGCTAGCTACTGCAGGAAGAGCAGTTGCTCCCTGTCCCACACCAGGGATCTGGAGCATGCTGAAATGCTCTAAACCTAAACAGCCTCTCTACGGCATTCCCATCTCCTGGGTTTCCTCTCCTCCTGGCCCACTCTCAGCACTTTACCTTACAGACGACTGGTGTTGCTTACTCTTCCGGGAGGAGGTGGTGCTGGTCGGCTGCTGCCGCATCACGTGGGCCACACCCACATTTAAGGGCTGGGCTGCGGGAAGGGTCACATGACCAGTCAATAGCGCGGGCTGCTGCATGATGGGATTGTAATGGCTGCCGTGAGCATGCGTGTTCCTGAAAGGGAGCCGGGAAGACAAGGCCCATGAGTGGTTTTGTAAAAACAGAGTTCCTTAAAAAGAAAAAGTTTCCTGCCCCAATACAGGCTGAGAGCAGCAGGCATCTCCCTACGCTGTGAGGCTCATCAGGTGCGGTCCCCAGAGCAGGGAAGTTGAAGGCTGTTCTGAAGGAGCCGAGGAGGGCTTGCAAGTGGGCAGAAGGCCAAGGGTGCGGGCTCCGTGTGTAAGATCTGGGGGGGAGGTAAACACTCCCTCCAACTTTTGAAGTCCCCGAGGTCATTGTGCTGAACAATAATATGTGGGTTTTATTTTAGAGTTTACAAGGTGCCTTCAATGGTTATTTCATTCCGCTCTGTGAGGTAGGCAGGATATCTTAATGGTATCGTTTTGTTTTTTTGTTTTTTTCGTGTCGGGCAACGATCGCAACCCTCAGTGTCGCGCCCATACCGGACCGGCAACGGGATCGCAACCCTCAGTGCTGCACCCACACCTCACTCAGCCAGTGAGCGGGAACCGGTCTGTATGTGGGATCCGAACCCTTGGCGGGAGTGCCACCGCGCTCCCAAGCGGTGCACTGTAGCAGTGCGCCACCGGGCTGGCCCTAATGGTATCGTTTTGTTTATGAGGAAATTGTAGTTTACGTGAAAAACAAACTTTGAAGACTGCAAGTCAGATGTTTCTGGCATTAGGAAGTGTTAGTGTTCTTTTGAATTCCCTCAGTGACTAGCACAATGCTCAGGCATGTAGCAGCTGATCAATTAATTACACGCTTGCTGAATGAACAATTAGATTAACTGAAGGTTGACTAGACATGTATGGAGTTTGGTATTAAATCAAAATTAATAACAGACACACACACGTTGGTAGAAATATGGCAGCCCTCATCCTGAAAATGGGTTACATTTTTTTTTTGTATGAATATGAATTTTCTTTCTTTTTTTTCGTTAAATTTTTATTTTGTCAATATACAATGTATATGATTATTATGGCC